AGAGAGAGAGAGAGAGAGAGAGAGAGAGAGAGGATCTCCCATGCAGTGTGAGAGCACTGTTGCGCAGTCAGTGTAAAGAGGACGAGTAGGTGGAGTGGGATGGAGAAGGAGAGTAGCATATGCCAACTCAATACACTGACCCCTTTAGGAAGACCCTCAGCTGAGAAGAGGTGAGAGCTGAGATCATAAGGAGGCAGGCCGGGAGGTGGAAGACAGCCACAGAACTTATCAGGAGAGGTTTCAGTAAAGGAGAAGGGATAAAAATTAACCTTAGTAGGCCAGGGATTTATCTTAGTGGTGCTGTGCCTGCCTGGAAAGTCCAAGGTCCTGAGTTCGCTTCCTAGTACCAGAAAGAAAATTAACATCAGTTAGAATTTGCTACATTTCAAGAAAAATGTGTATATTCCTCTATCTATCTACATAGTGGGTATTTATATATTATATTCTCATATGGTTTCTACATGGAAAGCATTTTAAGATTTTATTTTCCATTTGAAAAGTTGAACTTGGAAAGTTCTTAACTTGTTAATAATCACACATCAAGCAAGACACACAACTGCATGAACATCTACATTTACTGGATATTATATTTTTTGTATGAAGAAAATAATAGAGACAAGACCCATAGTAAGTGAAATTTAGAATATTATTGAATGTAGAAGTATGGCAGAAAATTCCTCATTTTCCCCAGGTGTTTAATGTTTGACAAGAAGCATGTCTCTCCATCAAATTTCTGCTCAAGAAATTAGGAGTAAAAATTACATTACACATATTCCTTTGAGCTTTCCAAGAGATCCCCTTCACACACATCAATATTAAAAGCATAATATTGCTAAAACATACACTGGTTGAACAAATGAATATGTCAACTTGGGTATTATACAAAATATATATATAGATAGATAGATATATCTATATCTATCTATCTATAAGATATATATATATATCAATGAGGGCATTGTTTTGAAGATAATGGAAAAACACTTCTTCCAAAAATAACTTTATCGCATGCTCCTTCCCAGGAGTTAGAACTGCACAATTAGTCATGCATATGGCTTTTTATTAGAATACTTATGAAACTCCATTTACACTAATGGGTGCCTTCTTGAGTCATGTTTTCCAGGAAACTTCTTCACATCCTGGAGAGAACGCCTGCTAATGAAGAGTGGCATCAGGGTGAAATGGGGCTGTTGGGAGAGGGAGAGTAGTTGGGGGTGATCCAGACTTGGTTAATCTCCACAGAATATATATCTTGTTAAAGCACTTTACAAAAGGACAAGGAGGGAGAAATGACTTCTAAGTGATGGCATTATGTTTGTACATTCAACAAGGTTGACATTTTCAAAGCAGTCAGTTCTATCAAATGTTGGATGGCTCTGCAGGGTTAGTGATTACAATCTGCTGCCTACCTTGTGCTAGTTCACCCTTAAACCTAGCATTGCCTCTTTATCTTGTGTGAATAATGTGACTTCTTGTCCTGATACTCTGTGTAAGATTACTTATAACACAGGGGCAAAAAGGCAATTCTCAGTCTAATTTATTTTGCAAATTTGACAGGAACATCAAAGAGCAAGAAGTTGTCTTAGAGTAATGACTGCAAACCTAACCCTCATTAACTTTGAGAGAATTTGCCTGTAAAGAATGAGTTTTGATTAAGCTGGAAACGTTTCAATATTATTCAGTCCTGAGGAAAATATCTATCAGATCCTGAGAGTTGAATGCTCTGAATAAATCTTCTTTTCAATCTGAATGGAACTGGACATTTCAGCACTTGGGGTCATGGACAGTGCCCTCTTCCTCTGATTACCGTCCTGGCAACTAAATCTCCCTCCCCAGGTTAGCAAATTGGTGTCTTAACTCTGAAGTTAGTAAAAGAAGACTATGTATCACCTGGGCTGTGCAAAGCCAAAGAAGAAAAATAAAATAATACCAAAGAAAAGCATATCTTATTACCAAGATTAAGTCTAAAATAAAATCAGGGAAGAGACAAAGCTGTTTTGTAGATATTTTTGCAAAAAAAAACCCAAAAATGTTACTTTTCTTTGTACTGAAAAGTATAAACATTTCTCACCAGACAGATTATTGGTGGAGAGAGTGACAGTGCTTTTAACTCCTTGTGGCACTTTCCTGACTGTGGACACGGATATAGAGGAGAATGGGCAGCCTGACCAATGGGCTAACAATTGGGCACAGGGAATCCAATCTCTGCATGCTTTCTTGCCACAGAGTGGAATAACAATGAAGAACTCAGGATTGAACGTCAGAAGAAATGGAAAAGAATCTCAACTATGTCCTTTAATAAGTCGCCACATTTTTGTCTTGTTTTTCTGCCATCAAATGTAGCTCAGTTTGAGGACTAGCTGACATTATGTGACAGGGGCTTGACACACAGTAGGTACTCTATGTACGTTCAATTTTGATCGCTCACTTATCAATAGAGCTCACATAAGGTGGTAAACACTGCTGTACCAGTAGCCCTGTGTCTTAGGGTTGTAATTCTAAAGATGGATGACAACAAGGGAATCAAGAAACGCACTTTTATTAACTGATATCATTATAAGAAGAGCCTTGATCACTTTCTGTGCACATGGGCTGCCTCCCTAGAAGATTCTCTTTATTTTTATCATAAAAAAAAGTCAACAAAAACCAAATAGTGTGAAATGATATTGGAAGAACAAATTAGAGTTTTCGGAAGGGTCTTATGAAATCAGTCACAGACTCCCTAAAAACGCCTTCCAGTCCCATGCCCTCTGCTAAGCTGCCTGCAGAATTGCCCCTTGGGAGCCTCCTAGGGGAGCAACACACCTGCGAGGGAGGGTAAAGATCCCACCGTGGCGAAAGGTTTTCTCATTAGCACTGTCGCAGTTTTAGTCTTCGCTTTTGACTTCCCAGCCCTCCTCCCAGTCTCTCTCACCTCACTCACCTTCTCCCCTTTTCATGACCTCAAATCCGCAGCGACTTTCCCTGGCCGCCCCGTCTCCTCCTGTCATTTTTGGAGACCTCCTCCACACTGCCCTCTGCGTTTGAAACGCCTCCCAGCCTCCTCTCCATTCATCAAGGTACAGCTCCTTCCATTCACAATTCAAGTCACCTCTCTCTTCTGCCTTGTCGTGAAGTAGATTCCCCTCCTGATCTAATGAACGCATCACCACCACCCCTGTCCCCATGGGAATCTTCTCCCACAACCTCAAAAACTGTACATTCAGAGTGGTGGGGAGAGGAGGAGCGAATCCGTCTGCTACAGACCTAGGCAGGGACGAATAAGAGCGTGTCCAGCATTGAGTGTAGTCTCCTCTTTGAGAAAAATAAAAAATTGCACAGATATTCCAGAGCCTGGCATCCAGCAGCCTCTGAGCAAACCTGGATGAGTGGATGAATGAAGGAGTGAATGGATGAAGGCCACTGAGGAAGCCCCTCCTTCCCGCTCCCCTCCCTCCTTTGTGATTCCCCCCAGTAAGAGCATTTGCTCCTCTGCACCTCTGACCCCTCACCCCCTCTTCTCAACAGGAACCCAGAGCCGCTCCGAGGCAGGCCACCAGGCTGACAAGGGCTCTGTGACTTCAGCAGCCAAGCCGAGCTTGCTCCTCCGAGGCTCAGCTTTGCATTCCGCAAGCTCTGCCTCGCAGGCCCCTGAAAACTCCCGGTCACGTTACACAAAGCATGAATGACCCCCTACACTCGCTGCAATCCACCTGGGCTTGCCTGTCACAGCACCTCTCCACAGCCCATGACCGAGGTGCAGAGAAAACCAAACAACACCAGCAACACGGCTTCCCTCGTCTCCCTGCAGAAGAAAGGAATCCTCATCCCGGGGCTCGGCCCTGGTTCTCAAAATCAGAAACTTTTCTTCTTCCGAATGCCATCAGCTAGCTTCCCCATCCGGAGCGCGGGACCGCTTTGTCTGCATCCCGTGCAGGGAGGGGGTCCCCAGCCTGCAGCAGAGGGAGGACACCTGGGGACCGGACACACTCACCCAGGACGTTCCCCACGAGCGCCACCACGAACACGATGATGTAGCCGGCGATCAGGACCCACTCGTACTCTTTGGGGTGCAGGTACTCCCTCCACAGGTACCGCAGGAATTCCTCGTCGTCATAGTCGGTGGGGCTCAGCAAGGGCTCCTGAGTTCCATTCAGCTCCGAAGCGGAGGACCAGTTGCGGCGAGGGAGGAAGGCGTGCTCCGGTTTGGTGCCGGACATCACGGGCTCTGTCCGGTTCGGCTCAGTGCTGCAAGCCGCTCTCCGCCCGCCCCATGAGCCCCGGGAATCTGCCGGGGGAGCCTGCGTGGACCGGCGACCGCGGCTCCGAGCAGAAAATGACGTGAAAAGTTACTGAGCCAATGCCGCCTCCTCCGGAGTCCTCCGCCGCCAACTTGCGAGGCGGCTTCTCCAGCTTTGCAGGAGGGTGTGCACCGGAGAGGCTGCTGCAACGACACCGACACCGACACCGACACCGAGGGAGCCAGCCGGCTCCGCGCCCTCCTCGTCCAGCGCTCAGTCCGCAGCCCACGGCCTCCTCCCGCGCAGGGAAGCCAGGGCGAGGCTGAGGACGAAC